CATAAACTTGACTACCCATCCACGCACTGTTTCACACCACCGATATAGACTTACACACATATATTACACACACCATTATTCACTCACCCATCCAAATCACTGAATTCAGGTGTTCAGATCGCTTCCATGGTCTCAGGTGGACAGAATTAAACACCTAGGCATGCAGACTGCTTCTTTTGGTATTCAGCTGCTTAATTCCAGATGAAAGCAATTTGTGTATCTGGATACAATATATCTGGTTTATTGTTGGGTGTAATAAATCTTGTTAATCCTTTCTTGGTTAATGGGGTAACTACTCGATGTTCCAGCCTTTGAACCGGTCATATGCTCTGGGCTTTCATCCATACAGTGTTGAGTATATGCATTCAAGCTGACAAGTAATGACATCAAGCGCACGATGAAGGACATGCGGATGTTGGTTGAAAAGCCCAGTGTGGGTCGGTTTACTCTTAACCTCCAATAGTTACCATCTTGGCTACACAGTGCTCAGCTAGCAGTAACTTTAAGCTAGTAGTTGGAAGATACATTGCTGGTCTCCATGACAATACCAACATAGCTGACAAATTAATAATACAGCTATATACCTATATAGCTTGAATAGACTTGTAAATATAAACCTTATTTGTGTTGTTTGGTGTTTAACTTTATTGAATTGTCTTAATTTGTGTAGTAACTTAGTACCTCTGTGGTAACTCACTGATCTCATTGAGGTCAACACCCACACTGACATGTTGACAATCCTGTCTATACAAGCATTTCCTTTACATAATGTATGATATGAAGGTGCACTAACACGGGTTTATTCATTACTATTGAGAAAATGTGAAATAAAAATCCTGCCAGTCACTCTGTGAGGCTGATCTTTCATAATGTAGAAGAGAGCAAAGGCTGAGTCTTTGTCAGTTTCCTGAATTGACATTCATAGCCTTAAGCAGTAATCGGTGGGGGTGTAATTTGGTGGGCTTCTATTATTCGGCACACTAATTCACCTCCACATTTGCAGTGAGCAGTTGGCACTGATTTGAAAGTGTGTGTGTGTGTGTGTGTGTGTGTGCAGGTGCAGGTGCAGGTGCATTTCACATATGCTGTGAAGGCAGTGGCTGTACTAAGGCTAGGCTAATTACAGGCAGGTGCATTTGATTGTGCCCCCACTCTAGTCCATTTACGTCGTGCACTGCTGTCACATTCTCCTGTGGCTCTGAGCAGGTATCTTGTGCCGCCCAAATTTAAAATGCCTGACACTCAGGTCCATAATTTGTTAGACAAAGGAATTGGGGGGGGGGGTGGCTCCCTGTTAAATCCAGAATTGAATTTAAAATCCTGCTCCTCACATACAAGCTCCTGAATCATAGCCCATCTTATCATAAAGACCTCATAGTACAGTATCACTCTGTTTATACACTTGCCTGCAATTAATCATTATTCATCTCTGGTTCTCTTCCACAGTGTGTCTTTGTCCTGTATACTGTACTCACACGCCCAACAGATGGCTAGTCCTCACCGAACCTGGTTGTGCTGGAGGTTTTTTCCTGTTAAAAAGGACTTTTTCCTTCCCACTGTCGCCAAAGTGCTTGTTCATAGGGGGTCATATCATTGTTGGATTTTTCTCTGGATGTATTATTGTAGGGTCTACCTTAAAATATAAAGCATCTTGGGGCGACTGTTGTTGTGTTCTGTATAAATAAAACTGAATTGAATTGAATATTTTACAAGTCCTTTCTAAATGTTGACAATACGCTTACACATTTAAGAAATATAATTTCTTAATTATAAGGATTTTTGTAATTTTCATTCAATAAATCATTAAGTTGACATTTTAATGGATGACTAACCTGACCCGAGTCTACACCCCTACAAAGTTTTATCAGGATTACTTCAAAACGTTTCGAGCTACCATGTTTACAGGCTGACACGCTACCAAAAACACGACCTCCTTGGCAGAGGTAATGAAACAATCCGCCAAATACATTAGGGTACATTCTCAATTAATAGAGTCATTTATATAAGCTGAAGTGAATTTCACGCATCAGAGACCCCAGCTGCTCAGGCATAAATACATCTGACACATAAAGAGAGCGGAGCATTTGTTAAACAGCTGTTTACAGCTGTTATAGGCCCTCGCTGCACATCCTCTGACAATAAGTTTGCTTTAGAAAAAAGTAGATGGAGTGGTGAAGGAAATATATTTCTCCTGTGGTCATTTCATTCTATGTTATTATTATTACAGTTAGCATAATTACTGTAATTATGCGCATGGTTGGAGGCCAGGTTATGGCAGGTTATGATAGAGAAACAAACAGAAGGGCTGCCGCCGTGTTAGAGAAAAAAACGAGAGAAGCGACGAGACTCCGGAGGGCCACCTCTTAGCAGCCAAAGCCATGGCAACAGCAGGCCATAATGACAGGCCGGCGGAGTGGGACACAGCACGGTGATTGCTTCAATCGCAGTCATATCAAACACACGCCGCTCTGCATTTTGTTTTTGTCCTTCTGAGAAGCAATTTGTTCATTCATTTAGGCGGGCGTGCTAAATGGAGGTAATTTCCAAAGACTGATTGCAGCCTGAAAAGTCTGGTTTCAGTCTTCAGGGAAATAGAAACCGTTTAGTATCTGAATCTTAATTGAGCGACTGTCACCGTGTGTTGTTTCACCGCTGATGAAGAGTGTGTGTGTGTGTTGCTGTGATATCCAGAATAATTCAAGTGTCCGCATATCTGAATAAATCTCACCGAAAAAGCGGCAGAGTCAAAAGACACTCACTCGCAGGTGAATTGAAATCGTTCAAACTTTATTCATCCTGCTCATCAACCATCATTACAAAGCTTTGGGGCCCCTAGCTCTGATTGTCTTCTGAGCTGTATCACCCACCCAACATTATCCAAATATTCACAGAATTACAAAAAAAAAACAAAACTCCCTCATTCTTCTCAGTTCACAGATAACCCCCTCCCAAAACATAATGTGCACATCAAAGAGGACAGTGGGCAACAATGCAGTTCATGTTTACTTCCCTGTGACACATAAAAGCTCAGCAGGTACACACAAAAAAATTGCTCTGATCCCACAAGGCTTTCATGTTCCAGTTTTTTTGTTTTTTTTAAAGCAGCTTCACATTTCTCCCTCACAAGAAAAGAGGGGCCAGCTAATGTGGAGATGATGAGGTTTTTTTGTTTTGTTTTTTAGCGTACCATTTTCACAGCCCCTCTGGCATAACCCAAGAAAGAATAGCCGACACTTTAGACATGACAGCAGGACTATTAGTGAAACACTCTGACACGAAGCAGAACAGCCGAGCAAACGTCTTGTACAATCAAAAGAGCGCTTACAGCCACTCAGAGCTGGCTCACAAATGAACGGTCGACAGGAAACACGTTCTTCATCTGAATCACAGTCAGATATAGAAATCTGAAGAAGAGCGTTTGCAGATGCCCGCGTTTAATTTTTTATTTAACGGATGCAAACATACGTTGAAAGTTCACGTAAAAGGAAAAAAACTACATTCGACTATCAGAAACCTCTGTAGAGACCCAAAGTGTCCAAAATTGCAGAAATATGTATAAATGTATAGTTTCACTGAAAAAAAATGAGGATAATTACTTTTTTTTATTCCAAACTGTTAGTCGGTCTTTATCAGTTAGATCAAATCTAACACCGGGTTTATCGTCCTTTTTGCAAAGCATGAAAAACAAACATGGTTCAGTTCAATAAATAAATAAATAAATAAAACAATTTTCATTCATTTTTTTGGTCTATATTTAAAATTAATGCAAATACTTTTGATAATGTATCATTTGTTTAATATTAGCAGATTCACAGGTGCTTTAAGCAATTTCGGAGTTGCATTCACAGTCATGGTTTTTGTTTGTTTGGGGGAAAATGATGAAAGTCAGCATCAGCTGCCAGCTCCTTTACAGCCGTGGATCTCAGAGTGGGATCTGAGGACGTCTCAGAGGTCCGGAGTAACAACATCTTAGCAAGTAAGGAATTGCTAAGTAGATAAATTTATCCTATTAGCTATATATTGTCCTTTATTTTGGACCAGTAGAAACTCCAAGAGTCAAAGTGGTCTTGTTAATGCAAAGCTGGATTTATTAGCCAACTATTGAGTTAGTGAACACATGCGTGAGTCAGTCAGCTTTTCATCTAATGCTTAATCCAAATTAGCTAACCCGGTGTTAGGATTGGAGGTGGATGTTTGGAAAATATTCTCCTCTGTAAGGAGTCCCAGGACCCAAAGATTTTGAGAAGCCATGCTTTGGTAAAGGATAAGGCTGCTGATACTCCGTATGTTACTGAAAAAGCCAACAACACATTGCTCTTACGACATATAATCAATCAAGTTTGATGTCTCCAGTGCCTTTGTTGTCCAAAAATATCTGAAACACACTCACTGAGTCAAACTGTACTACTGTACAGTACTGTGCAAATGTTTGGAGCCAATCCACATCTGTTTTCCTTCCTATAGCTTTAAAATGATACAAGAGCAATAGTTCTCCAGGCTTTCTGAGGTTCTTTCAAAGCTTTTCTTTGGACAATTGCTGCTTTTCAGTCCTGTGCTTGTAGCTGGTCAGTTTTAATGGATTGTGTCTGAACAAATTGAGAACCAAAGGGGTGTCAGGCCAAAAACAGCTATCTACAACAGATTAACAGTATCTGAAGATCATGTCCTTAAGAAACAGGAAAGAATCCAGCAAAGACCTGACACAGGACCTGAGAGATGGTTCTGGACCTTCAGCTCATGCATCTGATGTTCACTGAAGCTTCATCAGAAATGGTCTCAGTGGAAAGATGGTTGAGGTGTGCCAAACTACACAAGACTGAAAATCAGTGGCAGCAGTTCTGGTGTCTGTAAAACACGGTGAAGGCTCTTTCATGGTTGGGAGCTGCATTACAGCCAGCGAATGTTTTGAATGTCCTTCAAGAAGCCTGGAAAACTATTCCTGAAGACTACTTAAAACAATAACAAGAAAGCTGCCTAAGAGAGTTCAGACTGTGCTGAAGAATAAAGGTGGTCCTACCAACACCGACTTTCAAGCTCATTACAATTGTACGTGCTGCATTACCATGTTTGTATACATATGTTTCAATAAATCGTCGTACCTATTTCCCATTTTTCTAACAACATATAAAGAAATAAAGGGTGACTCTAGACTTTTGCTCAGTACTGAGCCTTCTTTAGGGAGTTGTGGTGTGCTTTCACAGCAGGAAGTTGGCAGACCAATTTACATATTGCTGGTTTTGGTCTTTTCATGGGAGCAAGAAAATACAAAACCACAGCCTTCTTCATGTTTGCCCATGTTTTACAGTGCATGTAACCTGAAAAGGTTTTTACACATATCTGAAGACATTTCACATGTCTAATAAATAAAAACTATCATGCATTGCACACATTCAGATTCTCACAGCTACTTCATAGAACCGTGCATCCTCTCCTCGCGTCTGTTGCCTGATGGCTTCATTGCTTTTTATTTCTGAGCAGCAGCTGTGTGTGTCTATTTTATTATTATTGTTACCTGTGGTTTGACACACTCAAACCACAAACACGTAGTGTGGTTAAGTACTTAGCTCTGCTGAATGGGAGATTAATTCTGAAGCCACTAAAGTAGGTTCGATGTGCAGTTTGTTGTAGTTTTGCATTATGTATAACATGTACAGAATTAATATTTTAAACCGTTTCCACATGCCTTGTTCCATCTCTGCTGCCTGAAGTGGTAAGCCGTGCACACCACGAACCACCAAATCGATGGAAAAGCAGTTTTCATCCAGTGATTCATGAAAAATACCAGTTAAAATACAGTAATGGGGCTCTTTAAGTCCCGATCATAAATAATACATAGTTTAATAAATCTTGCAGGCCAAAGAAAAAAAAACCCAAAAAAACCCCTGACATGAGCCGGGAGACATTTCTTGGCTCAAACACATACTCTCACACAACTATATTGTTCCTTCGCTTCCTCAGCAGCACCCTACTGATCACCAGAGTAATAAAAGAACATAAATGACACATTAAATATGAGCAGAAAGCATTAAAAATGGATCACAGCCGAGATAAATGAAGACTCTTTAAGACCCCAGTCGGCCCAGCTGCCTTAAGAGGTTTTAAGGATCGTGCATTAACGCTCTCCCTTTGTCTTTCTGTGCTTCAGGGTTCGGATTGAGCAGCTTTCACCTGGTTGAACATGTCCTTAATGACAACGTACAGCCGTGTAACCCTAGAACCCGGGCCATAGGCGGCCTGTGAGAGGAGATGATTAAATATTCAAGCGCCACGATCCACAGGCTTCAAGTCTTTGTCCCATCAAGGAGTTTGATGTTTTTATTTGTGCCAGTGTGTGTAATTATTGTATATGCGGCACAGGGTTGCTGGTAGGTTATTAAATCCATGCCTTTCATATTCAGGGCGAAGGGCCTGGAGATCTTATTGCAATAACGCCCAAGCTTTAAAGTAAATCCCCACATCCAGAAGCATCACCTTAACAGAGTCTCCACAAGGTGAGGTGTGATCTTGTCTGGCTGTTCGATGAAGTACCAGGGGTTGGAGAAAAAAAGATGTTAGTGCTTCTTGGTGGATGGAGAGCCTGCCCAGAGGGCAACAGCAGTATTGACAGGGTGGTGAAGGCAGAGAAGGACCTTAGAAGGAAGAAAGGGAGGTCAAAAAGCTGACGAGACACAGGCTTCGTACATGTGCTCAGTCTCTGTGGGACTTGTATGGCCAAATTGAGTATCCAGCAGTTTTTAGGCTTACCCTCAGGATAAGGTCTCCATCTCTCTGGCCTTTTTATCCCCCCGTCCCTTCACTGATTTCAACTCTAGAGTCAGTAAGAAAAAAAAGGCCAAAGAAGGAAGAGTTGTTTTGTGCTGTCACGTTAATGGTTGTGAGTTGATCTCAGTGTCTGTCTGGCCTCTTAGGAGGCTCTTCGGAGGCCTGACAGCCGATCCCTTTATGTCATTATGTCTCCTCAAGGACTTTAAGTGGCATATGTTAGGAAAGAGAGAGAGCGAATGAGAGCTTGAGAAACGGAGAACAAACACAAGTAACATGATACTATCCCAGTGTGATACACACAAAGCACACTCTGTGCTGCACAATAGACCTGATATCGCCACTTCTCTATTGACTCCCAGTCGCATGAAACAGATTTCCTTCAAAGAACCACTTTCATCCGAAACCCTCTCATATCCACTGCAGTCAGGGCTGCAGAGGCGTACAGCTGGGTTAAACTTCCCTCCCAGTGTTCCTCCAGCTTTTGTGCCTTCCCACCCTGATAAGGTCTGATGGATCGGAAAGGAGAAAGATTAAAATTCAAGTCCAAGTATGTCCAATCCCCTTTTTCCTAATTTATTTTTATGTCAAACCAAACACACATAGAAGGAAGAGGGGATACTCTAATTCAAGATAAACCCAGACATTTCTCAAGGATAGCCTTATTCCCCCAAAAACCCCAGACCAGCCAACAATCGTAGTCTCATGGGTCACGATGAGTTAAACAATGCAGTTTGTTGGGCACTCGGATAATTTTCAAGTCTATGAGGAGTTTTCCAGCCTATGAGGACTGAGTTTGTGAGGGTTTTGCCCCTTGCTTATTTGTCCGACCTCGAGTTCCTGCAGCAGTCTTTGAGTTGATTCCAGTTCCTGAGGCAGGGGTTGCAGCAGCAGGCACTGGTGGCTGGCTGCGGTGGGCTGGATGTCTAAGCAGGGTTGTGCGTACAGGCTGCTGGAAGGAGTGTGACTGCTGCTGAGGCCGAGCCTGAGAGGTCAGACGGTACCGCAGTAACTGGGAACGTAGGAGCATCTTTGTGTACTGGACTTCCGGCATGATGAGCCTCAGGCAGAGCTCCTGGTCCTGGCTCGAGAAGCTTTGGGTAATATTTACAGGGAGGTCATAACCGACTATGTCGACTTTGCCGCTAGGCTGCCAGGGGCGGAGCTCCTTGTTTTTGATTTCAGCAGCTGAACGAACAAGTGGCATGCCTTCACCGAAACACCTTTTCATCAGCTTCTCCTGGGCCTCACGAAGGAGGCGCACCTCCCTCGCCACACAGGCTGGACCCACAGCAGCGATTTGACGCCACAGTGAGGCATTAAAGTGATCATAGAGCTGGGCATCTAAGGAATTCCAGGCACGGATCTTTTTGCGAAGATCATCAGTCAGGCCCTGCTTGGAACTTGGCGTCCGCATGTTGAGCTTAACATACAAAATGTCATCCAGATCCCAGGAAAGGAGGTGTCGAAGTAGAACCAGAGATTCATCAAAGTACTCAGAGATCATCACCAGGGAGAACACTCGCTCCACCTGTGCTACAAAAGCTTTTGCATAAGAGACATCTTTCGCTGGGCGATCTTTGTCTCCGCCCAAGTCGTAGGTCAAGGTGTTACGTGCATACATGGAGTAGTTCTCCTCTGGTTTGTAGTAGCGCCAGGGTTCATCTAAGAAAGCTTCCAGTGAACCATTAGGGACCCTCTTGAAACTCTGACAGTACTGGTTATAGTAACTGAACAAGGACTCAAACATGGAGCCAGGCTCTCTCAGGATCGTGACGTATATCGTATCATTTGGCATCAGTCGTTTCAGCTCAGCCTTATTGAAGCGCATGTGGTTGGTGACAATGTTTGGCGGTAGCGTGTGCTGATGCACAGAGTGAGTTGTGAAGGATCGCGGGTAGCAGAACTGGTGACCGCAGGCCTGTATGGGTAACGCCACCGTCAGGTTGTTGCGCTCTGCAAAGCGGAAGAGCAGATTCTGCATGGTGCTGCTGGCTGTTTTGTGGGTTTTCAGGAAAACCACGTTACTGTGCTTAGGCTTCAGGCCGGAGTATGGGTGAGAGTGCAGGGCTGGACAACCGAGGTGGAAGGCATCCATGGTCCTGGTGGCAAAAAACAACAACAGTTTACTTAAAGCTGCATTAGCTTAAACAGCACAAAGAGCAGCTGTTCTGGATAAAATAGTGACATTAGAGACAAAGCTGCACACAGATAATGGAAGAAACTAATGTGTTGTACAGAACAGAAGCAACACAACGGGAAGGCAAAAATAGTAACCATAAATGGGACTGAAGGGAAAGGTAGAAAGATATAGCCGTGAGAGGAGAGGAGGCCAGAAATGCAATATATGATATAATATACAGTGTGTCTGTTTTTATTGTATAGTGGACTGACATTCAGGGAACACACAGATGATAGTACGAATTATTACTTTTCAAAGTGTCATGTACATTAAGTTTTTATTGGCAGAATTATTCATGAACTTTATCAAAAGATCTTGGTGGCAAATGTTTATCATTTTTTAATGAAGACGTTCATACTATATACATACAGTTAGGTCCATATATATTTGGACAAGGACACAAGTTTAGTTTTTTTTTTGCGGTCAAACTCTTTTTAAAGGGACCAAAAATAATTGGACAATTAACTCAAAGGCTGTTTCATCAGTAGCTGTGGGCAGTTCCTTTGTTATGTCATAACCTTTTTTTAGCAGATAAAAGACCTGGACTTTATTTAAGGTGTGGTTCTTGCATTTGGAAGATTTTGCTGTGAACAGACAACATGCAGTCAAAGGAGCTCTCCATGCAGGTGAAACAAGCTATCCTTAAACTGTTAAAGCAGAAAAAAGCCTTTCCGAAGAAGTGCTACGATATTAGGAGTGGCAAAGTCTACAGTTTGGTCCATCCAAAGAAAGAAAGAAAGAAAGAAAGAAAGAAAGCACTGGTGAACTCAGCGATGCAAAAAGACCTGGACGTCCATGAAGACAGCTTTGGTGGATGATCGTAGAATCATTTGCATGGTGAAGAGAAACAGCTTCACAACAGCCAACCAAGTGAACAACACTGCGTGAAAGACTGCATGAAAGTAAATACAGAGGGTTCAATGCAAGTCACTCATAAGCCCCAAGAATAGAAAGGCTAGATTGGACTTTGCTTAAAAAAATATCTAAGAAAGCCAGCACAGTTCTGGAAAAAATATTCTTTGGACAGATGAAACCAAGATCAACATCTATCAGAATGATGCCAAGAAAAAAGTATGGAGAAGGCGTCGAACGGCTCATGATCCAAAGCATAGCACATCATCTACAAAACATGGCAGAGGGACTATGATGGCTTGGGCCAGTGGCACTGGGCACTAGTGTTTATTGATGATGTGGATGAAGTGGAATAGTCTTGAATGGCCAAGTCAGTTACCTGATCTTAACCCAGCTGAGCATGCATTTCACTGTTGAAGACTAAACTTCGGTCAGAAGGGTCCACAAGCAAACAGCAACTGAAAGACTGCTCTGCAGTAAAGGCCGGGCAGAGCATTAAAAAGGAGGAAACCTGCTGATGTTCAAACCTTCAGACTGTCCTTGCCATCAAAGGGTTTTCAACCAGGTATTAGAAATGAACATCTTATTTTCAGTTATTTAATTTGTCCAATTACTTTTGACCCACTGATATGAAGAGATTATGTTAAAAGAAATGCTTTAGATCCTCACATTTTTATGCAATTGTTCAACCCACTAAATTAAAGTTGAAATTATGCACTTCAACTTCTGGGATGTGGTGGAAAACAGCTGACATGTGCAGTTAATGCATTTGCTGTAAGCACTGCAGGATACCAGTTCTAAATTCTCCTAAAATCTGAGGTGTTTGGTACATATCACTGAATAAAGTAATATAAAGAATGCAGTGCTCACTGCAGAGTGAATGATAAGAGGTGGGATGTGGAAACAAGAGCGTTCAGTGAAGTGAGACGATAAAGACGTTGAGAATAGGAAGTTGAAGAGAGCAAAATGCTGGGCTGTCAAAAGTCTACAGCACTCTACTTTTATAATTGGTCCCTCGACCAGCATGGCGGCGCTTAGGCGCTCAAGGTTTCTATGCTTGACTTTAATAATAAGCCCCTCTCTATTAATTTGCCTATGAGGCAAAAGTGTGGCACAACGACTGTCAGGATTTTTCACTGTAACAAGGACCATATGGATTTATAGAAGAATAACGGATATTTAATGTGTTTTCATATCGTGGGTCACTCACCAGGTCAAGTGACCCCCATGGTGCAGCAGAAGACTGATGGTACTGATGGCAATGATGACCAGGAATATCTTCTTCTTCCACATCTGTGGGAAGCAGAGGGAAAAAGAGACAGCGAGTGAGAACTTAAGCAAAAACAGAGAGCAGGAGGGTGGCGGGAACGAGATCAGATGGAGGTGTAAGGAGAAAGCAAATATGAGCATCAGGTTCGAGGGAGAGCGACGGAGAAAATGGGCAACGCGAATTTGGGGGACAAGAAAAGAAGAGAAGGTTAAGAGACTGAAATGATGAAAGGAAGCAGTAATGAAAAGTGAAAGGAGAGAAAGGAAAGGGAATCGAGAAAGCGAATAAGAGCAAGAGACGGACACGATGCAGGATGATTTATTCAATAACTGCTGGGATCCATTAGCAGTAGAGGGGGATGCGTCTTGGCTTTTGTCACTCACTAATAACACAGTGAATGATACCTTCATTACCTTCCACAGCTGTAACAGTCACATTTACTGACACCCTGGGCAAATGGCCTCGTACATTAGGTCTTGTTAGAAATGACATGCGCACGTGTGGAAAGCAAAAAAACAAAAGCAGCACATCAACACATCAACCTCATCACGAGATCGCTCTATAGCAGAAACTCCTCGTGACACTCGACCCGTGCCGCTGAAAAGCTACGACGGGCAGTGGAACCCGGGAGGGAGTCCAAGCCTCTCTCGACAGCGTCTCACTTGCATAACAATAGCTGACGTCTCTCTCCTTGATTACACTGTGATGTTACGATCTGCATGGATGCCAGCAGAGGAGACGCGAGCTCGCATTACTCCCAGCAGCTGGATTTTACGCTGCATATGCCGTTTGTGAAGGAGCACAAATGCATCAGTTTGAAGCACCCATGGTCCCAGTGGGGGAAACTACTGACCGTGGCAGAGCTGCTGCCACCCACTCAAACAAACATGATCGTTAGTCTTTTGCCGTACAGATGCAGATGTTGTATGCAGGAGTGAAATAATCAATACATTTCGACAAACATTGTTTTATTCGATTTAAATGGTGGCTTAATGTCTTTTTTTAATAGATCAGTTAAAGATTATCTCAATAAAATGTACTGCCCCCTAAAAAAGCATTTTTTTCACTAAACAAGAACTCACGTTTTAAATTCAGAAGCAAGCACATACTCAATAAAGCTGTCAAATAACGCATTTCAGGAAAAAGACAAGAAAAAAAACACAGCTATAGAGCACAGAGTCAGGCTTTTGTTCAAAACCCACAGCTCATGAATAAAAACAAGATTTGGGGGGGATCTTTGTGCAGAGGAAGCACAATTGTTGGAGAACAGTAAGTCACGAATCCAAAGTCAAATCTCCAAATGTACCCAATAAGTAATTAAGCTTTCAGTGAAGAAGTAACAGCTGACCTCATGTTGATTTGTAGAAGATTAAGAGAGAATGAGCCGAGTGTATACCGACATTCACTCCTGTTGTTTTTTTCCTCCCAGCTTTAAAAGCCTTGAACAGCTGTTGGCTGCAGGAATGTGCGTAAACACACGTGTGTGGGCACACAAATGCACAAAGCCGTAAGCCTGCTCTGATACCAAACAGGCAGCCGTGCTCTCACACTAATTGACACAGATTGTGCAGACGCACAGTTTGATTTGTTGATTTGTGCCCTCTGCTCTCCTGATGACACAACCATCTGACCACAACTAGATCTATTCTTATTCATTTATGTTTTTATTGCTCATTCATAACCCCAAATTTCAGTTCCATCTCCTGCATTTCTTATGTGGCAGAGCTGCCAGTTTGGTTCAAATAATAGTCCACAGAGCTGACTTTCTGTACACGGTAGACTCCGTCTCAGCAACGTGACATTAAGACGGTAAACTTCCATATCCACAGATATCAAAACTTGGTAAGTAGAATCAAACAATACAGTTATTTTACATCGTTTAACAGGATAATTAGTTAATATAAACTGTAAACTGCTTGTTAATGCAAACATCTAATCAGCCAATCACACGGCAGTTCTCTCTGGGTGTCCCGTTGATGTTAGACATCAGAGAAAGACGGCTTTGCGCTGATATGAATCCCGCAGTAATGCTAATAACCACTTGTTAAAACAAAGGCGTGCAGATAAGACTGGCCCGGGGAAACTCCTCTCAGCTAGGAACAGGAAATGGAGGCTTCAGTTTGCCCACACTCACCAGAATTGGACAATATAAGAAAATGATGAGTCTCAATTTCTGCTGCAACAATCAGATGCTAAGAATTTGATGTAAATAATAGGAGACCATGGATTCATCCTGCTTTGAATCAAAGATTTAGGTTAGTGGTGGTGGTGTGTGGGATGCTTTCCTTCCACATTTAGTATCATCTGAGCATCATTTACCTGTGTGTTTGTTAAGTGTTGCAGATTTCATGATGAAAACCAGGGTTTAACCCAAAAATGTTTCCCCATGGTCAAGCTTATGCTAGTTGAGTTCAAATGTGAGCAAAAGTCTTCCTTTCATCGGTCGATATTTCGTTTCCTCCACTGGATTTGAATTCAATAAAGACTTTGCTTTCAGTCTATTTCTCCGTTTTAATCAGACCTCATCAACAAATGATGCTGACATCTTAATTTTCTAGTGGAAAGAATCTATTCGACCAATCATCATCATCCCGAGGTTCCCCGTGTTTATTAGAATGGGTTCTAAGCACTTTAATGTGCCTAGATGCTGCAGTGTAAAATCCGAAGGTGATAGCACGTTATCCAAGAGGTATGAGAACAATGAATGAATTTCTTAGATCCACAAGTGGTTTCTCTGTGCAGCGCTTATCATTCCCCAGCTATGTGTTCTTTGATTTACAGCAAAAGTTGTTCTCTCCTCCACTGGAAAGAAGAACTGTCAAGACTTCACCTGAGCACAGACTGTCTGAAAACTACTCATCGCACTTAGTGTGGAAGTGGGTTCTTTTCTTCTCTTTAATAAATAAAACACAGTCTCTGTGGATGGAGATACTCATGTTTTCCTTCGGTACTTTGGGACTAACTGTCACTCACTCTTGGACCCACAGAAGATGACACATGCCTCTGTGGAAAATGTTTCACTTTAGCAACTGATTTCTCAGATCCCTTTGCATTTTTCTCAACAAACAAAGAAGCTCCTAAACCTGTGTTCAGGCACACAAATATTAGAGTTGGGGTGAATGCACAAAAAACACAGTCTTTTTGTTTTTAATGAGGTTTTCCAGTATGAGTGGAAAAGCTGTGGGACTCCATGAACTGCATTGCTACTGAAACAGAGAATAAAAATGGCTGCATTCAGCATTTGCAGATGAACCCGAGTGATGTCTGCTAAAAAAGCTAAAGTGGGAACGAGGGTAAATGTTTAAATATGGCTTCAATGGGAATTTTAAACACGGCAAAAGCTACTTCAACTCACTTCATTAGGTACATCTGTTCAACTTCTCTTTAATACAAATATATAATCAGCCAGATACATAGTAAAACCCAATGCATTTATGTATAGACATGTAGACAGGTACTCAGAACTTGCTGCTGTAAACCCACGTCCATCAGGCCTCAACATACCGTGGTTTTAACGGGTACCTTCATGGGAGAATGGCTGCTTTAAGCTGATAGAAAGGCGACAGAGTTACAACCATGTATGCAGAAGAGCATCTTTGAATGCACAACATGGTGAGCAGCCAATCAGCTCACCCTTTCCCATGCTAGGAACCGCAGTGTGTAGACATGTCTGCACTTCAGTGTAATAGGTGTAAAAGATAAAGGTTGAGTTGATGGATTGGGACAGTGCCTCTACATGCCTTTGGTTGCTACTGCCGCTAATGAGCTAATCCAACGTAAAGAAAATGCAGCATGATTATTCCATGGTTTGATTTCTGGATGGTTTATATGGCTCCATTTCATGCAGTCAAACAACAACAGCTACATCTGCATGAAGCAGAGCGAGACAGACTTTTCATCACCATCCTAAGAAATGTTACCTTTTCCAGGCTGATTAATTACATTTAGTTACCTCGGGTTCTTCACCTAAAGGGTAGATCTCATTTGCATAAGAAAATGTCAGCGTAATACCTGTTTTGAACGAAGCACGTAAACACAGACCGATCCATCGTGGTTCGGTGAGCAATGACATCAAGGCCAAAGCTGATGCAAGGCCGTGATAAGACACAAGGAAGCAGTAAGAAGTAAGAAGAGCAGGTTTGTAGCCCTGTG